GTGGATGAAACCAAATTTTAAATTTGCAAACTGTGACTCGATTTTGTTTTTATTTCTTTGTTTAATTATTGCAACATTCACTAGGATGTAGGAAATCAGTTAATGTTTGCCCATATCTGTACAAACGGTAATTTTTGCCAAATGAATAAGGCTGATCTTGAATAAAACTAAGCTACTTTTATATTACTTTTATTTATTGATAGTTATTATGATACACAAAATTTGGTGGACGAGGAATATACATTACAAATAAAATGATTCACAGAATCTTAGTATAGTAAAATTTACAAAAAGCTTACAAATATTAAATACAAGTATAAAATACATTGTGAGTGTTTATAATACTGCCGATATAAAAAATACAAACCAGTCTACCAAGTTACTTGATTAATGTTTTTTTACCAAAAATATAGCGTCCAAAGATGTAATGTTACAAATTTTTTGGCACGAATAAATGTGTTCTATTACAATGTTCGTATGTTTCTTTCTCACTTACCCTAAAACAATCTCATCACACAGTTGATTTCGATATCTTAACTACAGTTTTCGTACAGAATCAATCTTTTTTTCCGTTGGAAGCGGGCTGACTGATGAATGTGAATGTTGACATTAGAACTACATGTTTGTGAACAATTGAAAATTGCTACAGTTTGTGCCCAGCGTTTTATTCTGTACATCAAGTACACTTGTTTAATTTAAAGACTATTGCTTATAAAAGTTTGTATCAAAAGTTGGGTTGCCTAATTTCATCTCAAACTTGACAGCTACAAATTAATCACAACGAAATATTACAGATTTGGTCAACAAAATCTCTGTAATTGGTTTTCACTCACCTTCACACATTGGATATGAACTTAGCTTAAAACAATTTCAACTTGATTGCCGAAGATCACATTGGCATCTTTTGAGCTAATAATTCTTAAATACACCGCAGCTTAGTCTTACTGTACAAGCATTAAAAAGTATAAAATAAGTTACTACATATCTAAATAAATTAGGCCTTATCAATATTACCAAGTACATCAAACGGAGATCATTGTTTATACAAAAATTAGAACCGCCCGTTCGGTTACAGTAGAAGTACACGTTCACAATACTGCTAAACTTAATATTTTGATTACACTTCATCTTTAACAAACCAAAGGACTTATAGATGTAAGAAATACTTAATTTTGTATTTCCTACATTGCATTATTGAAGTAATTTTAATGAAAGAGCTATAGGTAGGTTTTATAAAGCAAAAGGTGCTGACAATTGGTACGTGCATTAAATTGATAAATTCCGAGCGTTATGTTATGTGTATTCAGACAATACGCTGATTGGAATGTGAGCTCCCAAGGCATAATTAACCAGGACTTTTTCCATTAGTTCTTTACCAAAGTGGAGGGGACTTCGATATCTACGTTATCCTTATCCCACCATGGAAATGCCGTCATTCAAACAACTATAGGACATAGGTATTATACATAGCCCAATAACAATTGATGTTTGCAAAACATTCTATGCCCTAACTGCATGTATTGTGTAACCTTAAACACTTTTTTATGCACATGTGGATTGTCAGTGGGCTCCAAAATGGCCGACGAGCAGTGTTAATATTTTCGATAGTGTTTTCTCTTGCAAGGTTGCCATAGTTCTCTCTCTTTCCATCCCACTCTGATGTAAATGAGGTTATGTATATGATACACACAGCGGCGGGCGCGTGGACGTGGGTCTGGTTCTTAGAGAAGGAAAGAGTGAGGAGTGATAATAATGATCGTAAAGTGAACCGTGAACCCCACATTTGTTTGTTATTTCACCGAAAACTAACCTGTGACCCAATTTTGACAAATAATAATTTTTTTACAGGGCAACGGATTGCGCAGGTTTGCGCCTCGAATATCTTTGTTTGACATTGCTTACGGTTGGTTTATGCCGCGAATACCTTCGTCTGCGTCACATGTCACACATGGGGGGGGGGGGGGGGTGGAATTTTGTATTTGGAATGATTTAAAAATGCAGACGAAAGTATTCTGGACGCCAACATGCGCAAAACAAGCACAAGCGATTACTTAAAAAAACGTCAAATGTGAAAAATGGGACGACATTATGGAGTTTTGCAATTCGAACAACTGGGAAACGCCGCGGTCTCAAACGAAAGTACTCGGGCCACAAGAAGCCTAAACCATATGACTAGAAAAAACATCAAATTTGAAAAACTGGTGGGACAGTATGGAGTGTTGTGTTTGGGCGCAAAGATGTACAATCCAAGTGCAATCGGTTGCTCTGTGAAAGAATAATTATTTGTAAAATTGGAGGAAGTTATGGATTCGCCCCCCCCCCTCCCCCAATTTGAATCTATCGTAATTTTGAAACCGGCCGCGCGCAATGCAATCGTGTGCGCACTGGGGCGACAGTATGGAATTTTGTATCTGGAGTAACTGAAAAACGGAGGGGTGCAAACCAAGCGCAATCGATCACTAGAAAAAACGTCAAATTTGACAAAATGGGGGGATAGCTGTATGGGGACTGATAGATTAGGTATTTGAATCTCTGACTGCCGTAGTTCTCAAAATGTAACGTGGTGGGAATTACGTGGTCCAGGGATTCCCGTGGGGCATTACGCGTCAAGCCACGAAAGAACTGACAACAGTAAAAAGGTGATAATTTTTGCGATCGGGTGATTTTACGTTTTTGTGAAGAGAAGTTCTGCCAGTACGTTAGCAAATGTCAAAATCTCACTCGTTATCTGACGCGAAGAATTACGTTTTGTGGACAGAATTAGTGTTTTAAAGCGCTCGATCAAACTGTAGCCGCCATTTAAAATACAGTATACACAAAGTAATTGTCACTTAGCTGTAGAGATTGCGTGCGTGAAACTCGAAATGATAAAGAACGGACTGAGGAAAAAAACTTGTACGATGTAACATTTATTTCTCATGAATTATTTTATTTCGTTTATTTTTTTATTTTGCCTTTATTTTTGAGTGGGCTGGGTTTCAGCCAAGGCAAATTATCAAAAGAGACTGTTCCACTAAGACTCTCATCAAACAGAAATCAATCGACAAAGAACCACAAGAACCCAATCTTTCTCTGGAAGTTGCCTATCGTTTCTTGGAAATGAGAAGGCATTTTGCTATTATTGCATACATGGAAAAAACGACCAAACCAACTAATACTGAAATTTGTGGAAGCACGATTGAGCGCTTGAAACAGTTTCACCAATAAAGCGAATGAATTTATGGCGAACAAAACTATATTATTTCGATTTTTTATTTGGAGTACGGCCCTGTCGAGGTAAATGCGTACAAAAATAGACGACGCCAGAAAGTCGCAAAGCGCAGCGAAATTAACTAGCATTACACTGTATCCTACTGAGACAGATCGGATTTTGTCAGGATGTCGCGTAGCGTTTGTTTTTGTCGACTCTACGGAAACCAGTGCACACGAATCTGTCAGTTTGGATTTCTAGGGGTCTCATTGGTTGGAAGGAAGTTATAGTCGATTAGTAGAATAAATTCGAATGGGAAGAAGTTCTCAAAATTTAAAGTGAGGGAATCATTTATTGCCGTCAGGCATTACGCGTCAAGCCACGAATGAGCACGTTTGGAAGCGCAACAGTAAAAAGAAAGTCGCGGGGATTTTCGCTTGGGACCGTTAGCGGACTTTTTTAGTGAACATCCATAAGTGAAGAGTGAAGAGTACCTCAGAAAATTTCAAAATCGAGCACCTGCAATTTGACGCGAAGAATTACGTTTTGTGGAGAGAGCTAGTGTTTAGTTTAGTAATTTTCAATTCGAAACACTAAATCGTCAATCAGAAGTGTACCGGCCATTTAAAAAACAGTAAGCACAAAGTAATAGCCGCTCACCTGTAGAAATTGCCTGCGTAAAAATATTTTAACAACACTAACATCTACCGTCGAGGAAGCGTGTTTTCAACGATCATTCAAGATAGCCATCCATTTATGAAGCTTAATAATTTTTCGGAATGTCCCCTATTTCAGTCTATTTAGGAGATGATTCTGTGCTTCCAGTTGAGCGACATCGGAGGGACATCGTTATCTTTACGATTGTGTAGTTAAACGTTTGATTTTATATTCAAATTCGACCTGGTCCTTAAGTTTTTGAATTTTAAAATTTTATTGCCAATCAAATAATAATAAAGATTGGGACATTGTTTTAAACAGAGGAACTATACTGTAGCATTGTTTAAAGTATTTAAACAATGACTGTAGGTATATGGTTTTTCTTGTATGGACCCATCTAAAAGAAAGTTAAGTTTTTCCGTTTGAATGTAATATTAAATAATGAGAATTTTCCAATTGAGTTCAAAATTTAGATTTTAAGATTATAATTTATTTGTGAAAAAGAGTAATAATAATTTTCATTATTTAATTATGAGAACACTAAATTAGTTTGAAATAGTAGAGATCCTGATTTTGAAATTTAACATTGTGGAGAGCTGCAGAGGAAGACAGATTTTTGAATGATCAATTTTAATTAATATATGGTAATTTGGATCTAGTCAAATTTTTGTTATTGCACGACTAGGTATTTCAGTCCTAGAATGTAACAACCGTTACAGGGTGTACCAAATTACTGTGTCCATAGCAATGCTTTAGTATCGTGAAACTTCTTTTTGTTCCAAAATCTTTAGACGGAACAGAAGCCGAAAATTGTTCTCAGAATGAACACCTGAAAGGTGCAATATAGACGTCAACACGAATTTCGCAGAATGTCCAAAACTCCAAAGAATATTGTACTGACCAGGACTGTCAAATATGTTTGACCATTATACTGACGGACAAAATGTTGACATGGGAAATTCACTTGTGCAGAAATCCCTTTAGAACTATTTTGCCAGTGTTAGGGTAATGCAGAGTGAATCAATACTGTTTGTGGGGGTGCGAAAAACGCCATGAATGCAACACATTTATGAGAAGGGTTATTTAGAGATTAAGTAAAACCGTTTTCGATGCTTGGACATGGGTTATGTCGGTTTTTGGCTTTTTGCCATAACTCTTTTGGTCACGTTGGCGTATAATAATTAAACATTTTATTTGGGAAATGATCCTGGTCAGCACATTGGCTGTTGGCGTTTTGGTATAGTGCCGATAACAGTTAAAGGAGCTTAAGAGATTTATTTTCTGTGAAGCCAAAGCAACAAGATTAAAATTAATAAAACAGCGAGATCTTTATTTGTTTCAAGAAGTTATTTTGATTGCATAAAATTAGGCGTCTTTCAGGAGACTTTTTATAATGTAAAAGTAAAAATTCCTATAGGAAATTCCTATGTCTACCCCTACATGAATATCACTGTATTTTGATGACACTAATCTGTACGCGCATACCATGCATATGGAAATTAAATAGCCTGGAATGCTTGTGTTATCATTCATAGTTCTTTAAAAAGCTTAGCCTAGGTCTAACCGACCGACATAGGAAATGTATTAACCATTTAATGTCAGAGAATTTGCGTGAAATATTGACATCTACACAATCTCAGAAGATTGGTCAGATTTGGAAACCATATGAAAGAGCCATCCGTTGGAATTTACAAATTTTCAATCAATACTCGAGCCTCATCAGTTGGAATTTATAAATTTCAATCAATAATCTTATTTGGCGCCACTGTTATTTATCAAATTAATAAATTTTGTATCAATCGTCAGCACCACGAGAACTATTTACCAAGTTATTATTATTAAAATAAAAATGGACAAGCATTGATATTTTTCAGTCAAAGATCATGGAATCTTTAATCTAATTGTGCATATCGAGGAACAATATCTTTAGTAATCCAATAATCACAATGAGTGTAGTTAGCTGCCAACAAAACATCTTGCTCAACAATAAGAATTTTGTTATTGATGTGTTCGACGGGCTGAATTTTGCCGTGCCAAACGTAATAATAAAACAATTGCTGCATTGCGGATACGTATCGCTTTTGCTCCGCCGTTTTTGGTTCGTAGCGGCCCAAAATTGCGTCGACGTCGGAATCGACGTCGGCAACGTTTAGTTCGCCTCGATTTTGCGTGACTACGTAAAACGGCACGTTACGCATCTGCGTAGATACCGCTAGCAATGGGCAGACTATGCGTATATCGGATATCATGGCACTCAATCCTTGGTAGGTTGAAGGATATAATTTTAAAATTTCATCGACCATGTTTAACTGCCCTAACTTCGACTCTTTAATGTGCTGTTGTACGAGATCTTCTGACCATGATTTGTACTTTAAGTATAGCGTTTCCGACGCAGCCGCATGGGCGGTAGTCCCCAAAACTAGTTTGACTGGAAAGCCTTCTTCAGAAGCCCACACCTTTCCAGGATGTTCCTTGAGAATGTTACCATCCAGTACCAACCACTCATGACGTTTATCCGGTTCTTCTAATCTTGACGGTAAATCAGGTTGAGGTTTTCTCCACGTGTCAATAACAGAGCTTACTAACATATCGGCGTCGGCATCTAACAAACACTGAGCAGTTTCGCATTGAATACTAGGCATGTAGTTTTTATTTTCCATCTCGTACTCCACAAGAGTTTTTCCCGGATATATAGCTCCACCAGAAGTAGCCCAGGCTTGTTTGAATAACTTTTCTGCACCTTTCATGGCAGACAGAGCCGTTACAAGTGTAGCACCGGCTCTGTGACCGAACAATGTGACGGATTTACGATCCCCACCGAAGTGCTCGATGTTGTATTGGACCCACCGTAACGCCTCAACGATATCGGACAGACCGTAGTTACCCGAGGTGGGCAAATGAACCGACTGCGTCAACTGACTGACTGCTAAGAATCCCAACACTCCAAGCCTAAAATTCGGCCTCACAAATATGACGTCACGAGACCTCGCGTATCTGGCCGACGGACGCATTTTGCCGGGCGAACCGCCGATTAAACTTTCAGTACCAATAAGAACGACAACAGGAAGCGGCGTGTCGTATCGAACGTAGGGCGTAACCACGTCTAGAGTTAAACAATCTTCCGTACCTGCAGTTGTTCCGTTGCTGTAAATTTGTAGGCAATAATCCGTTGCGTTATGTGTTAGCAGAGGTGTTGTATTATTCCAGCAATAAGAGATGGAATTTAAGGGATGCGCCGCTTTGAATCTCAGCTCACCGATTGGTGGACGAGCGTAGGGGATTCCACGGAAGGCTACAGCCCCATCTTCAAGAACCCTGAAAAAATTTGTTATTAGTTTTAAATCACTTTCTAGAAAGCGTTTTAGTAACACGCAACCATTTATTATAAGAAATGTCCGCTTATACTTGAAACTTATGAGAAAAGATGAGGGGAACTTCTGACATTTAGATTTTTTCACGCATAATCTGTTTGGGGGTCACTGTGGTTTTCAATTATATTTTGTTTGGTTCGTGGCGAATTCTTATTGGCGCTTGCTTAACGCCTGTTGGAATGTGCATGTTTTCACTTCCTTTTTTATTACGTTTAAGTTAAGTGATGTTCATCGCTAATAAATTCAATGTCGGTTTAATTGCAAAATCTTTAAATATTATTTCTGGCGATTAACCGGATTTTGTGTAATTCTCCAGTTAATTTTTCTCTCAGTATGGAGGATTTAAATATAGGTAAATAGGTAAGTAGTGTAATTTTCTTTAACCACCTGTTACTGTTGAACGTTCTAGTTTTGTCATTCGCAGTTTGAAACAATTTAAATTTCAACAGTTACCGTATTAGTATTATTATTTTCTGAATAAGTTCTTGGTTTCAGTTTCAATTTTAGTTCAATTCTAATTTGAAGTTATAATGACACATCCACGTTTAATCACGACTTCGAGTTTTAATTAACATTGATTCCTGTCCATTGCACTTTAACGTGCCAGGAAACTACTGCAGATGTGTGTATAATGACAGCACCTTATCTGAGATAACCTACAGCAAACAGCGCCGGTAGCGAAGGTAACGAAATTGGACCGATGGATCATTTACGTTTACTTTTTTCCTTTCAATTAATCAAGTTACTAGTAGGTAGTTCCTCTTCAAGGAATTATACTGATGTAAGTTGTCTTTAAATTTTGAACGTCAATGAGTATTAGCTTTTCACGAATTAAATAGAGATGTCAAGTTTAATTTGAAATTTGAACAGAACTTGAGTAACTTAATACGAACCTGACCGAAATTTGTGAGAGGAACTGAGGGGGAACTTGAATTTGAAAAGAATTTGTGGTAAACATGAGGTTAACTTGATTCGAACCCTGGAGGAACTTATTTGAGCAGAAGAACTTGATATATGTAATGTAGTTCTCCATTATTTTGGGTTCGTTGTAAATTCTTAGGATATAAAAGGAACCACAAATGTTTATTAAATTTCTAAAAGGCCTTTTAGAAATTTAATAAACATTTGTGGTTCCTTTTATATCCAAAAGAACTTGGTTATGCTCGTAGGTATAACTTCAATGAGGGAGCTTAAAAAGAACTTTCAAGAACAACATGAAATGGGTTTAATGGAAACTTGACAACAGTAAGGTGAACTTGCAAATATTATTTGAATGGCACAGAAGCTGGAGGTGAGCAAGAAAATAATTTCATTCACCTTTCAATACAATGCTAAAGGAAATAGTATCTTAATTTATAGCGTTGCTGATTTTGCAGTTTGTTCAGTTCATATAGGTTCATGGTAAAATGTAGTGTGACTTTGCTTTCTGCGTTGTTAAGGCAGTTGAATTTGTTTTAATTTTATAATTCAATTTTCGTGTACTTAGTTTACGCTACATATAATAAAAGGAAATGTGCTTAGTTGTAATGTTATTCTTCGCATTATTATAAATTGTATTGCCTTCAGCTACTTGCAACTTAGTGGTAGATAATCCATGAATTTGTTTGTTATTTGCTTGTTTCACTTAAAATATTATTGCTATTTTGATTTGTTTGAGATTGGCCATTTGTCAATATTGACTCGATTTTATACTCATTTAGATTGATTAACAACTTAAATTGTGTATGAATCGCCTTTTTGAATGTCATTAACTGTTTCGCCCGTGCAGAGGTAAATACCGGAGTGTTAAAATTACTTTGCGGCATTCATACGATTTTAGTTTGAGGTTACCGTATCCAGGACCTTCAGATACCTTCTGGACTGAAAAAGGTCCGGATAATTAACAACGTATTTCATGTACTTGATGTAAGAGACTTTTTATTTTTCACAAATGGGAAACGAGTGAAGTTCCTTTACATCTATTTGAGCTGGCTACCTTTGGAGCGTATCAAAATTTGTATTAAATTAACATCAGATTTTAATTCAAATTCAAGAGTTACTACCTCGGATTGGTAATTTTTGTATATTGTAGATGTCATGTAAAATGTGTGTTTAGCGTTTTCCACAGTTAGTTTTAGGGAAACATGGCACTATGTAAAATTATATTTGACAAATTTTTCTTATCTCGTCAAATTAAAGAGATATTGAGGAAACCCTCTTATCTCGAAGGCACTGTATATCGCTCTCCAAAGGATGACTATAATCCATTTTTAAATAGATTACTAAACTTACTGACTTTTTTAACTGACAGATACAGGATAATCCTTATATTTGTGGTGACTTCAATGTGAATGCATTATCTTGCACAGGTAATCTCAAAAGTTTAACTGACGTGACGGATTCCTTCAATCTACACTCGTTGATAAAGGTACTCTACCAGAATCACCAGCAACACCTGTAGCTCGACCTGTAGCGATCTAGATTACCGATCACTAATTTACATTCATCCTTTTGTTCCGTGTTTGATCCTGGTTTATCCGATATCATATGGCACAGATTTGTAGCTGGACCGAAAAGAATTTACCTATTACAGGTTTATAATATTGAACAAAAGGTCTAGTTTGAAACTCTGAACTCCAAGTGTCAACATTAAACGTTTCATTTGCAAATAGGAACCATATATAAGCCCTTAAAATACGCAATTCTGAGCTCCAACTTTCAACATGGTTTGGAGATTGCTGAATGTGCATTTTTTAAAATTTCGTTAACTTTGAAAACATCTGGGATTGGTAGTTCAAAAAGACACTAACCAATAACAAAAAAAATATTTTAGTTTTATAACTTTGACATTTTTGTTCTCCATTTTTTTGTAGTAAAACGTAGCATAATTTTTGTAGGTTATGTACATATCAAAAGAAAGAAATTTGCCGTCGCCGCGCTCCAAAATTTTTTTTTCATTTACGATTTCCACATTTTGAACAAAATCCGACGAACCGTTTTCTCAGAAAATTGCCATACGTGCTTACATACATACGTCAGAGAAAATTATATTCTTTGAAAATTGCTAAAAATTAGCTAAAACGTCGACATTTGACGACATCCCCAAAAAATCGGCGGTGATCGCAATAGTCACCTAGGAAGACTAAGATCCATTAAAATTTTACTTATTACTGAGCTAGCCGTGGATTTATTTATGCCATTACAAAAAATTAATTGTTATAGGAAAATTCTAACCCGTGCCGTAGAGATTAAAATTTATTTTAAGTGGGGGCTTCCAACCCCTGTAAATGTAACTAATGCAACATTTCGAACAGATCACTGAAAAAAGTTAAAATTTGATATCACCCAATTGAGTTGGTGTATGGAGTACGGTGACCCTGTCATAAAATTTAGTTTCGCCATGGGAAACATTAAAATTACATAAGCTGAAAAAACTGTAGCCGTTACTAAAGGAAGAGGTGTCAGTTACATCTTGATAAGAAAAGTAAATTTCCTGATAGAACGATGCATTAGGCGCACGCCAATTAAATAAATCTTCGAATATTGTTTAAATAAATTCATTTACCGTTTGTTTTGAAGTTAGGCAATTATAGATAATAATAAAATACATACCCTTCAACTTTTCCACAACTAGTAATAGTTTCCACAAATCTTCCATCCCTAATCGCCACTGAATGCTCTGGTGCTATTGGTAAAGTTACAGTTACTATGATAATAATAAACATGATCAAAACAAGGAAGGCACCTGCAAAGAAATTAAGTATTAACACACATCCTAATTTAATTTAAGTACTTATTTTGAACAATATTAGAATTTTTCTTACCAAAACAGTTTTTGGTACACCATGCCGGCTTGAAATCCATTTTCGGTTTGTCAACAATTAATCAATAACATATCTATGACAACAGCCCATTATCCACAGAATTAGGCCAATAAAACCTAGATAGTATCAAACATAATTCACATCCCCCCTTGCGCTTTGTAATTTGTACTGATGCTGATGGGCGATCGTTTTAGGTAATTGGAGGTACTGGGGAATATAAGCAAGAAGGGAAATGAATCACTTATAGAATAACAGATTACGAAGTCAGATAAGCCGCGAATGCACACAAACAAACCCCTTTGTCGGAATGAAATAAGAAAATGGAAAAAAGGTATGTTTAGATCATTGGTTATTGTATATACCTTCAGCAGAAAAGAAATTCGCGCTTGGGTGACATCTGGAAAATATGAGGACGCAATCGATACAACGTTTGACAGTGGCGTCGTTGTCTACCAAGTTTCAACGAAGGGATTACCTACTAGAAGGGTAAAAATGCAAGACACCGTATACACATACGTATATATAGATCAATAATTATTTTAGAAAAGGGGTGGGGGAGGAGGTTACTCTATTAGTCATTTTTGATTTTCTAACAATAATTCCGTCTTACAATAGAAAAGGGGTGGGGGAGGAGGTTACTCTATTAGTCATTTTTGATTTTCTAACAATAATTCCGTCTTACCTTCCCTCCCATCCATTAATGGATGATCTTAAAATTAGTTGCAACAGGTGCCGAGATTAACAAGAGGGTGCAGTCTATTAATAAACGTTCATTAAATAGGTACACTTACTTATAATAATGCGATAAGCTCTCACTTTATGCTTCCAAGAGGGTTGCTCTACGGGCTGCTGTTTTTCTAGCTCGCATTTTTCCTGCTTTAAGTAAAAGTATAGATAATTAAAAATCGCCTAAGTGGCTTATACATACGTCAATATTTACGTCCAAACAAACATTCTTTAAGTCGTCTTCTTTTCTATCAGCACTTTTATCAGTCTCATCTAGTGTTTCTATAGACGCCAAACCGGCCTTAGCCGATTGATTGCTTATTTGATCCTCTTTTTTCTTCCTTGGAAAAACTGAGACTAAAGGTAGTCGTATCGTATTTAGTAATTTCTTTTTCTCTTTCGGTTCGGGTGTTTTCTCACCTGAAATAGAATCGTTCAATAGTTACATAAATATTATATTATTATTAATTAAAGGTATGTATCCCTTTTCACTGATAAACCTCGCGAGATCTCTAGTTCAAACTTTTCATAAAACGACGCGAGATCTATTTATATTACCTACATATTTATACTTACCATTTTTAATTACCATTGGGTCTAAAATCCTCATAACGTGCTGTGGAGCAAACGCATATCTATTTTGCAGATTTGTTATATGGACATCCGAATATCTATAGAAAGGAGATCTCACGAATGATCTACCTCAAAACTGCATTAGGCTAGGTATAAAATAAGTGAGATGAGAAAATGAAGAAGAACGAGCAATTACCGAAGGGGATAGTGGAATCGTAAAGAAGTTCGCAAGTTTACGTACATGTGCGGATTAGGAGAGTGCGTTTTCTCTACGTAGATTAGCAACCTGGTGCTTATTCTTCCGACCCTTCCCATACCTTCATTTCATTTTTATTTTATTTCTTCTCTCCATTCTTTACATTCATGTGTGTCATCCTCTCCTAAATCGACAGGTTCTTCAGATTCCTCAGATACTTCAATACTTCAACATTCTTTTAATTTTTTGAAGGTTCCAAATCCTTTCCTTTAATTTACTAAAATTTTGAAGTATCTTGGTTTCTTCACATCCTACATATTGTTCAGTTTATTTCGTCTATTGGGGCTTTACAAAAGCTTTCATTCTTTAGGAATCTATCGTTTCTGCTTCTGCAGCTTCTCCACCAGATTCCTCAGGTTCATCAGATTTTCTCAAATCTTCGATAATTCTTTAAATTCTCAATTTTTCTCCAATTCTTCAGTTTCTTCACATTGTTAATAAAATTCTTCCAGTTCTTTCGATTCTTCATATTTCCAGGATTCCTCACACTCCTTCAAGATTTGAGATTTTTCTGATCCTTCAGTTCGTTCAGGTTCCTCCGATTCTTTGGTTCTGGTTTATTGAGTTTATTCGCCTCCTTTTAATACCTACTTTGCCTTTTTCTGCAGATTCTTCAAACCCTTTCATTTTTCAGTTTCTTCTGATCCTTCATACTCTCAAATTCCCAAAATTTTTCTGTTCCGGTTCCGTAAAATCTTCAGATGAGTAAAATGTTTCAGATTCTTCGGATTTTTCAGTTTCTTTGTATCTGTCAGATTTTTCGGGTTTTTTTCGATCCGATTCAATCGGAATTCTCAAATTTTTATTATTCACGTTTCAAGTTCTTCTTTCAATTCTATTGTTTCTTCGAATTCATAATATTATTAAATGCGTTAATGTCTTCAGTTTCTTCAAATTCGTCGGTATGTTTTCCTTTCTCCGAGCTGTTTAGGTTTTTCAAATTTTTTAAAAATAATTCTTCCGCTTCAACAAATCTTTAGATCCTTTAAAATGTTTTACTTCCGAGTGCTTCAGATTCGGATTCTTTAGACTATTCAGAATTCAGCTGATCCTTCAGTTCATTGAGATTTTGTCGTAATGTTTGGGGATGACGACTTCTTTGCTTCTTTAATTTGAAATTCTTCGATTGTTCCAATTTTTTGGATTCTTCTGTTTCTTCGAATTTTTTAGACGCTTAGAGCCGTTCCCCTTCGGATTATTTCGTTTCTTCAGATTCGCCTGATTTTTTTTGTTAACTATGCAACGCTTGAACCCATTTTCCTTTCCCTTTCGTTTTCCCTGTTCCCAAAGCCGTATAACCGCAGTGTGTTCGCACCCGAAAATTTGCGCCACAATGTTTCGAAGAACTTAGGTTTAAGCAACAAGGGGACTTCGTCGAGTAGGAAAAACTACTGGAGGGCTGGTATAATTTTCAACTGTGAACAGTGCGATGGGTTTTCGCTCCGATGCATTGCTGGATTGTGATGCTCGCATTGAAATACATTGTTACCACGAAAGCGTTAAGGTCCAAGCTGCAAAAAATTGCATTGCGCTATTTTTTGGAGGGGCTGATTAAGTTGAAAAACCAGTTCATTAATCAAAGTTGTGCATCTAATTTGTTTACACGAGGTGGTTGTAATTGGCGAAAAGGTTAATGAATTAATTTGTGCTTTCGGTAGCGGTATAAAGGTAATTTCGAGGGTAATTTTGGATATGTCAATACTGCGGACCATTTTTTTCAATAAATAAAGCAAATTAGAACTAATAAATTGTGAGGAACCTGAAACACGGCTTTGCCGATTTAAAATTCGTCAATCACTGCCAAAAGGGGTCCCACGACCCAATTTTCTAAATAACTGCTGCCTTCCAAAGGAAAAAATCAGTTGTCAATGCGAGACTGCTTCAACTCATCGATAAACGTAAGTTACTTGAATGTTTAATTCATTTTAAAGAATTAAAAAATATGTCCTATTGTTTGCGGTTTGTCCGTCCGTCCGTTTGTTCGTCCGGATCCACTTGTGCGGTTTTAAACTACTTTTAGGGGAATTGCCCTACCGGGAAGGAATTTCTTGCACTAGGTAGCCTATACCTTGAAAGTGTGCCAAACGACCTTCACATTTTGTTCTCCTAAGCCCCCCCCCTTAATTATATGTCCCGAGATGCTGTTTCTGAAAGTAAAACGTGCATAACTTTTACATGGGGCACCAATTTGTCTTAGATTTTGTATACGCATGCCTGTATAGTGGTGACATGTAAATATTTTGAAAATTTGGGAGGGGGGAGGGGTAAACACACGTTCTACCCTTCATGGTATCCTAATGAAAGGTATCATCGAAAGGAATTGGTTTCTACAAACACTGTCTTCAGACTCCTTTTCGAGATCAGACGGCGAGGGGGGGATAGAAATTGGTTTTTATTTTTCATGATACTCTAATTAAAGGTCTCGTGAAAGGAACTGTTTTCTACCAACTACCGCCCTTCGCTTACCACTTATCAAAATTGAGGGGAGGGGCTGCCTTTATTTTCCATGGTACTGTAATGAAAGGTCTCAATGAAAGAAATTATTTTTTCCCAATCATACTTCTCCTCCTCGTCTCAAGAGCAGATTGTCGGAGGAGGGTACTCCCAAAGGGCGATTGGGACGTCTGGTGATGTGAAAACTTTAAACAGCGAATATCGGTTTGTCGGAGGAGAGTACTCACAAAGGATGTCAAAACTGCAGAACAGAGTGGCGGAGGAGGGTACTCGCAAAGGGCGGAAAGATCGAGACACATCGACTGGCCATGTGAAATCTTAATCATGAAAATCTGGAAAATGTTGGAAGAAAGTACCTACAAAAGGAAAAACCATATTTTGGAAAATTTCTCTAAGGGCTTGATTCTTCTTGCACTATATAGCGTAGATTTTGAATGTATGCCAGACGGCTTTTAAATGTTAATGTCTAAAATCCCCCCCTTAGGTATAGGGTTTGAAAAAAGTTTTTATTACTGAGCTAGCCGTTGCTCAAAATTAATTGTCATATAAAATTTTTTGCTAGTGGCGTAGAGGTTCAATTTTATTTTATTGAAGTGGGGTCTTCGAGCCTTGCAAATGTAACTAAGCCCGTTACAGACGATAGTACATTTTTGACGAACGAAATAGCCCACAAATTAACTAAGACGAGAGGAAGTAAATTATTGTGCATCGAAGCAATGTACCTTGCAGTTTCTCCGATTAAATTGGTGAATAAGTAACCAAAAATTGAGTACAACAAGAAGACCACAAAATCTAGGTAGTTCTTATGCATCAAGTCAATATGTGTTTTGCCCGTTGCCCGACGAAATTTGTGAATAATTGCAAATTTTGCAATCGAATTAACTAAAATGAAGAGCACAAAATTTAACTCCTGTTAATCATAGCAATTTGTTTTTCCGTTTCCCCAAAAAAAATGGTGAATAATTTAAAATTATGCCCATATCTGGACATCTATTTTGTTATAGAATAAAACAATAAATGATAAATTGAAAAAAAAACATTTACATCTCCTTTCATATGGAAAATTCTGATTAAAGGTCTTATTTCAACTTCGTATATAAAATCCATTGGAAATACCTACGTGGAAACTTAATGCCTAAGTTAAATTTATAACTTGTTTTGTAGTGATTTGTGTTCTGCTTAAACCTCGACATAAGCCTTTGTTTATTTTCAAAGCTTAAACGTAGTATTATATTGTATAAAAGGTCGTAACCAAGTTACAAAGTAAATATTTTGATTTGGTATCAATAATTTTTCTTGGATTTACCGATTTACGACGATACCGCTCGGTGCTAATTACATTCGGATTCATTTAAAATTTTAAACCGTCGACGCAGCAAAATCGCATTAAAATCGATTCTTTCATATGCAATTTGAGTCAAATTTACCTGCAGTGCAATTATCGCAAAAAAAAGTACAAAAAAACCTCACCTTCATCTTCATTAATCAGTTTTGACTTTCTAAACGGATTTGGCAATTTAATACGGGTTTGCGGTCCTTTAACTTCCTCTTCCTCCTTCGCTTGCAATAATTCAACCCCTTCAGTCTCACTATTTTGATCATTTTCCGTATCCTACAACCCCTAATTTACGAAACAGAAACAACAAAGTTTTAAAAATCGCACCTTGCACCTTTCCTTCGATTTGCTCCTCGTAAAAAATCCAGGCATCTGTATACCACCGATCGGTATCTTCTTTGGTTGTACCTCTCGGCCTTCTTTAATATCAGTCTTATTTAGTTTGATTCCGTTTTCGATTTCGAGTATCGGCGGCGAAGAGCTTTTGTTCTCCGAATTTAATATCTTCTCTCGCTCTTCTAATTCGATGATTTTTTTGTCGTCGCTCTTTTCGGTAGTTTCCATATTTTTTTGTTAAATTAAAGCACGCCGCGCTACATTAACAAATTTGATCACAAAACGACATGCACAACGCACCCTACTAACTTATTGATCTTAGTATTTACTTTGTTACGGGAACACATGCCCTGTAGTGCGCAAGTACATAACACACAAAAAATACCCCCTGCTTAGTGCGGCTGGCTTCCCTTTTGGTAGCCGGTAGCGTAGGTATTTCGTTATTAACTTCTTTAAAACAGGAAGCGTTCCTTCCGCACCTTAGGCCGGTTTGAGTACCACCACAAAAGAAGCCGGTGGAACAGAGAATTTTCCAAAATTAATGATTTGTATTTCGGATTTCGAAAGATGCGTTTAACCCATGCTAAGATGTACCTAATTTTGGACTATAAATAGAGTTGGAATTAAATGAGTTAATATACAACTGCCACCGGAAGTTTATTTGTTTTAACGTTTCACGTGCCCCCAAGTCGTTTTTTATTCACATTTTAACCGACATGTGTATTGAAGAGGTGCACATCATAACGTAAATTGCTACATCATATTTAAATCAGTTTAGTGTATAATGTAATCGGTGCAGATGACACATGGATGATTCTGGGTTTTTATTGAAAGTTGAACATATGGCCTTTTAGAACCAGACCGATTTCTTAATCTACCTCTACACCTGCGCTTTGCTTCGTTTACAACTTCCGGTGGGTATAACATTTTCGTTGGATTTGCATTTTTAGGTTGAGTGGATATCGAGCAGAGTTTGGCTCATTCACAATTTTTTATTAGGTAATTAACTTAAAGGTGGATGAAGCACCAGGTGCATGAAACGCGCACCCCAGATAGCGAAAACTCTTTTTCGCTCCCGTGAAAATGGGCGAATCGGGAATGAATGAATACATCCCAATATAAATTCAATGTAGCTTTATTGAACCAAAATTTGTTTCCGTTAGAGATTTGCAATAATCACGCGGCTATCATGAAGAGCTAGCTCCGAAGAAATCTCTGAATGATTAATGGACCTCCTTCAGAATTCACTGTAGTATACCTACCTCAAGATACTAAAACCAGTTTCCATTTTACGTAGGTATGTTACCTACAATAGGGTTAGCGTAACAGGGCATTCTTCCCGCGTCACCATTCAGGGCTTTGTGAAAAGGCTATATTTTAAAAAAATTATCAAAGTCCTCGTGTGAGATCGTAGGGACTTCAGCGCATTTTTGTTAGGCAGATCAGTATCCTATTGGCCACTTTTGAGTCAACCATCAATAAAAGATCTTGTCGAAGGCTACTGCATTCACTTTGTCGGTACCCGCTTCCCACTTTCCTCGTGCACTCTCAATTCACGTTTAAAGTTTTGACTCCACCATCAATAAGATCTTGTCCAATGCTACCACATTCCCCCTGTCGGTACTCACTTCCGACGTCCCGTTCATAATATTTAATGTAAATATGAATATTTTGTAAAATATTGCAATGTCCCGGTGTCTTCAGCTTTTCATATAGCCATTCCACTGAGACGTCGCGTTCACTCCCAATTCGCGTTTCAAGTTTTAACTTTACCTCGGGGGCTACCAGATTCTCTCTGTAGGTACCTAGTTCCAAAGTCCCGTCCATCCGCCACAAAATAGTACGCAACTTATAGCTCGAGCTTCTATTGGCGACACGGAAAAGAAAGACCTCTATAAGAGCACTAAAAAACTGTTGGGCGCCCAAAGTCGCCCTCGTAGGCGCGCGCCTTGCAAAAGGTGGTTAATTTCGCCCCTAGGAAAAACAAGTATAAATTGTTTTGACATCACCAATGGATATATTTCTTGCAGACGTCTCAATCGCCCTTTGTGAGTAGCCTCTTCCGATAATCCCTTCTTGAGGTATAAGGGAATATACCCGATCACGATAAGAGGTCGAGGAGGAGGGCTATGGTTGGTAGAATTTAATTCCCTTCGTTGAGACCTTTCATTAGAGTACCATGAAGGATAAAACTAGTTCCACTCCCAAAAGAGTCGCACGGGAAAGTTATAGTTTCTACAAGCCAATTTATTTCGATGAGACCTTTCATTAGAATACCATGAAGGGAAGAACATGTGTTTCCCCCCCCCCCTCATTGCATGCGTATGCAAAATCTGAGACCAATTGGTTGTCGTATGCAAAAGTTATGCACGTTTTACTTTCAAAAACAGCATCTCAGGAAATAATTCGTGGTGAGGGGGGGGGGGGTCTTTTAGATAGCGAAATTTGATCGGACGGACGGACGGACGGACAAAACGCAAGCAATAGCACTTTTTTTTAATTCTTAAAAAATGCGCTGTTTTTTTAAAGTAAAACGTGCATAGCTTTTGCAACATACGATAACCAATTGGAGGGAGGGAGGGGGGGGGGGTAAAAATTAATTTAATCTGTCATTGTATTCTAATTAAAGGTCTCAACGAAAGGAACCGTTTTCTACCAACTACTGTCCTTCATTCTATGGAACTAGTTTTATCCTTCATGGTACTCTAATCAAAGGTCTCAACGAAAGGAATTCATTTCTACTAACCATAGGCCCTCCTCTTCGGCCTCTTATTGTGAACGGGTATATTCCCTTACACCTCAAGAACGGATTGTGGGAAGAGGGTACTCACAAAGGGCGATTAAGACGTCTGCAAGAAATATCTCCATTCGTGATGTCAAAACAAAAGCTATTTTGGTTTAAAAAATGCGCTTTATCTGCACAAGAGTTGTGCACAATTTATAGTTGTTATCCTTATGTGGTTGTTGTTGGCATTTTAGAGGCTAGAAATCATTGTCATAACACGATCGTTATCCAGAGGAAATTTATCCAGTGGAACTAGTTTTATCCTTCATGGTACTCTAATGAAAGATTTCAACGAAATGAATTCATTTCTACCAACCATAGCCCTCCTCCTCGATCTCCTCGATTTATCTGCACAGGAGTTGTGCACAATTCATACTTGTTTCATTAATATTTCTCTTTAACGTAAACTAGAACTTTATAGTTTAGCCTCCTCAGTCTATCCTGTATTTATGCGCGGTGTGCGAATAATGGTCATTGCCATTGACACAGTTGTGAACGTGTATTCGTCGTTGAGAAAATATTCTGAAGGTAATAAATATGCTAAATTCGTCGTTCGAATGTATTGCTGTTTCGCTGAAACTGTGGTTACGGTTTTGGTACGAACTTTGTGTTCGGACGATACTTCCGAAGAAATCGAAAAAAAACCGTCTCTGATTTCAACGGAAGAATTTTGGCTAATTTCACTGCCTACCAGAAAATAAGATCGAAGGTAGAGGTGCCATACCAATACTTACGTCCGGTCTATAGTGCTAAATTTGTATGTTTTTATGGTCTCATCGAAATCAATTGTTTTGTACAACAAACTATAACATTCCCGTGCGACTCTTGTTCGAGATCAGTGAGCGAGGGAGGGGGGGGGGGGTTAAAATTAATGTTATCTCTCATTGTATTCTAATTAAAGGTCTCAAAGAAAGGAACCGTTTTCTACCAACTACTGCCCGGAGGGGAAGGGGGGGGGGAGTGGAACTAGTTTTATCCTTCATGGTATTCTAATGGAAGGTCTCAACGAAAGCAATTAATTTCTACCATCCATAGCCCTCCTCCTCGATCTCTTATCGTGATCGGGTATATTCCCTTATACCTCAAGAAGGGATTGTCGGAAGAGAGTACTCACAAAGGGCGATTGAGACGTCTGCCAGAAACGTATCCATTGGTGATGTCAAAACAAAAGCTATTTCGGTTAAAAAAATGCGCTTTATCTGCACAAGAGTCGTGCACAATTTATACTTGTTTTATGTTAAATACGTTTTACGAGAAAGAGTTACTTTAGATTTATAGATACATTTTTTTCTAGAAGACGGATTGCAATATTCTAAATTAAATATGACCCGAAGGCTGAGGAACCGTAGTTATAATCAGCATAGTATTGAAGTTAGCTAAGTTCATTCAGTTCAGGGTCGTTAATCGTGTATCAAATGGAAGGGCAATCAGCTAAAAGGGGTAATACTTATTTCTTTGAGTTAGGTAATTAAAAATTCCAACTTCATATTTCGCTTGTCGGTACTAAGGGTCCCTGGTTCGAACATCCGGGTTTGGGCATGGATAATTGTAAATGTATAGTGGGTTGGGCTGGTAGAGCAGCATCGGCTGAAACCCTGTCCACTCAAAAATAAAGGCAAAAATAAATAAAATAAAATAAATAAATCTAATTAAAATAGTTTATAGTTTGTTTACATTTTACAGTAACCTTTCATCTTTACTTAATTATTTTATTAACGAGCTTATAATTTTTCGGTGTCTGTCCGTCTGTTACCACGATATCTCGATAACGAATGGACCGATTACGATGAAATTTTGTAGGTAGATTCTTTATCAAATTTGTAGATCGCAGTTCGTGAATGGGTAGTGTAGGTCACAAAATAAGGAATGCCCTTTTGACATATCTGTTACTTATGAACCGAATTGCATGAAATTCAGTATGGGCATAGATTTATAGCCAATTCCATAAGTTGAGCATGCTATAGCCATGCTATAGCCATAGCTCGTTTGCTATATTTGTTTATACGTTTGTTTAGGTAACTTAGGATTCATATACAGGGTGATTCCTATAGTACCTGCCACCGTTTGGGAGCGTATAGGGGGTGCCTAGGGGAGTATTTTGATATAGGACACTTGGGGTCGGAAATCTAAAATAAGGGCGCCAGAACCAAATTTATCTTCTGGAATTTCACGCCTGTATGTAGGCAACCCAACCGACCGACGTTTCGCGCGGAGCGATGCAGAGCGAGTTAGCGCGAGGAAGCGACATGGGAGGGAAGGAGGGAAAACGACAGTCAAAAGCAATAACGTTTACAAGTGTTCAACGTGGCCACCGTTGTTCTCAATGCACTTCCTACATCTAGCCAACTATTATTATACTATTGCCATAGTGTTTATTCACTTGATACGCGTCGTTGCAGACGGGATTTCGTGGGTTTAAACAAAATTCTGATCAAGTGTCAGCCACACATCGCCGCCTGAGATCGCTCCGTGTGCACCGCCGGCCGGTTGGGTTGCCTACCTACAGGCGCGAAATTCCAGAAGGTAAATTTGGCTCTGGCACCCTTATTTTAGATTTCCGACCCCAAGTGTGCTATATCAAAATACTCCCCTACGCACCACCTACACGCTCCCAAACGGTGGCAGGTACTATAGGAATCACCCTGTATATGATGATATTCACAAAGGTCCACGAGATCAATTAACTGCTGACATTATTTTGTAGCTGAACATACACAACGATAGTAGTAATAAACTCATATTTGAAGATATGACTGGTAATGAGGCTGAGTTACCGCTACCCGTGGTACTATCCCTATGTTTAGGTGGTGCAGCGGTGGTGTTCATATCAATAACAGATGGTGTGGTAACAATTGGTTTAGCAACGGAAGTCGACGTAGTTGTATCGACTTTTCGAATTGTCGAATCGATCCAATCGATGTAGTAAGCCACATTAGTGAAAACCTCAGGATAGGTCTTGTGCGCACAACCCACGCCGAATGAGACAATTCCCATGAGGACTCCATTGCAAGTTAGTGGCCCTCCAGAATCTCCCTGTCAATGAGTTTTTGAAAACTATTTTGTCAGCAACATGATACTTACTTGACAAGCCCCTTCCAGTTTGTCTGACATTGCGCACACCATGCCGTTTGTGATTTGAGTACCGGCTAGCTCATACTGAATCGCGCATTCAGACAAAGGGTAAATCTCCATGTTTGCCCAATAGAGGTATATGGTGGGTTTCTTTGATCCCTAGAACATTAAGTTAGTGCGTATTCGGTTAAAAGTTAGTTTTCTCTTCTTTACAAAAGATTTAACTCCCCATCCGGAAACAATGCAAGATCCAGAATTTCTATCCTCTTTCGCGAATGGTATTGAATCGATAATGCTTCCAGGCTTCAGAGGCAACTCCGATTTCAGCTAAAATTTGTATTAGCAATTGCCACAAGCCATTTCGAGTACTTACCTTAATTAAGCCGATATCGTTCGACATGTTGATAGGATCAGGTACTTGTGTACCTGATTTTCAATATGTTAAGACTGTACATTTAAATACTTTAACTGTCTCTGCAAATGATGTTTTCACAAAACTTGAACAATTGAATACTAAAAAAGGTGTCGGCCCAGATGGAGTACCACCACTAATCTTAAAGGAGTGCCGTTTTACTTTGGCAAAACCATTGCTGTTCCTTTATTCGCTATCACTTAAATCTGGATACTTTCCTATACAATGGAAAGAAAGTTTTTTAATACCATTACACAAAGCGGGAGATAGGGATTTAGTGCAAAATTACAGGCCAATATCAAGAATTTCACAAATACCAAAGATTTTTGAAAAAATCGTTTCTGATAAAGTTACACCCATTTTAAATTGTTTATTGACCGATCACCAGCACGGTTTTGTGAAACATAGATCAACACAAACCAACTTAATAACGTACAAACACCACTTACTCAATGCCATGGAAAATCGTATACAAGTGGATGCCATTTACACGGACTTTACTAAAGCATTCGATAGGGTGTCTCACAAAATTTTGCTTGCCAAACTGGATGCAATGGGGGTGTCTGGTAATTTTAATGTATGGCTTTCTAGCTACTTATCCGAACGAACACAAACTGTATTGATACAAAATTATTTTAAAACCAAAAAAATCAAAATTACATCTGGTTTACCTCAAGGTGGTCATTTGTCTCCAGTTTTATTTAATTGTTTTATTAATGATGTATGTGATTTCGTAATACACTGTAAATACCTTTTGTTCGCTGATGATCTTAAAATGTATACTGAAATCAAATCATTGCAAGATTGCCTTAATATGCAGCTTGACCTTGATAACTTGGAGAAGTGGTGTAAATTGAATGAAATGGAGTTAAATGTAGGTAAATGCAAATCCATCAGCTTTTACAGAATAAAAAATCCAATTAAATTCAATTACTGCCTAGGGCAAAAAGTACTCGAAAATGTGACATTAATTAAAGATCTAGGTGTTCATTTTGATTGCGAACTTACATTTACTGATCACATCAATATTACTGTTAATACAGCACTAAAGATGTTAGGGTTTGTGAAAAGGTCGTGTGGAATGCTTAAGCGTGTGTCTTGCATTAAAGCTGTTTACATAGCTTTTGTCCGTAGCATTCTAGAATATTGTTCAATTGTCTGGTGACCATATTATGTAACTCACTCTGTTAGACTAGAAAAAGTACAAAATAAGCTGTTAAGATTCTTGGCATACAAATTAGGAGATAATGTTGATAGCATAGACTACTCACTAATTAGGGTCATGGCATGGTAAACATCAAACCATTAAATCTTCGTCGACAAGCAGCTGAGCAGATCTTCTTGTTTAAATTATTAAATGGAGAAGTTCATGCTAGTGAACTACTACACAGTCTAAATTTTCTGGCACCCATCAAAAGAACTAGCAGCAAGAAATTATTTTACATTAATATGCATAGAACTAATTACGCCATGTTTTCACCAATTGATAAGATTTGCTCAGATGCAAACGGGCTTAATATTAACATGTTTAGTGTACCATTCTCGAAGTTCCGGAGAGAACTGGAACATAAATTGTATGGTTAAGTTATTTGTAATTTTTATAATGGATATTATTGTCCGTCAAATATATATTTAAAGTATTTAAAGTATCATATTGCTCATGAGGGACAATTTGTTCGACATATCTCACCGTGCTATTTTGTTTAACATCCAAAAGTATTTGTCCCGCCAAAACGTATATTACACGCGCGGGTACTGCCATATACAGATCGAAGAAGGAGACCCCAACACAATGCGCCGCCGACAATATGTGTGTTGGCGAAATAATTGATCCTCCACAGAAGTGGCTATTCCGAGTTGCTGATCTTAATCCAACCTGAAGTTAAGAAACTGTAGCTGCTCTTAAAGCTAAATGCAAGCAAATAAATTATCCCTAACTATATACTAATTGCAGCATTTCCTTCTAATTTATTATCTAAGAATTAAGATAAGAACACCCTTCATCTATCATAAAACAATGTAACTCAATTCGGATCATACCTGGTATGGAAATTGCCCTTCCTTCGCTCGTTGGCCACCGACTATACGCATGTCGCATAATCCTACAAGCATTGTTAAAGATAACAGTGTCGAAATAAATGTACCTACTACTTACCGGTGCGTATGAATAGATTAACGCAAAAAAAGACAGTAAGAAAATTTATTGACATCATAGCGCACCTCACAGCAATGGATTGGCAGACGATGTTACCTACCTAACCTTAGTACGGTAGGTGCTTATAAATAAAATCTTTATCTTTTTGATAGTATCAGAATATGTAAGCTTAAGGATGTTTATCGACAAAATGACAGCATATCTTGGAACAAACAAACATTTAAAAATAAGACATATAGGCACCAATTAACGAAATCAATTTTTAATGTCTGTCCATTCGTTTGTCCGCCCATCCCTGTACACAACGCTCTTTTTAAAGGCGGTCGATCGTGTTGAAATTTAGTGCAGGTACAGTCAATCGACATAGTTGTCGATATTAGTCAGATAATGATCTAAGGATTTTCCATGAAGTACATTAGTCTAGGAGCTAGCCCATGTCACGTGTGCGGTTGTACGTCCTCTAAGTTTGGTTGCGAGGATTTGTTAAGCATCTATGGGAGTATTAAAAAAATTTGGTCACATATCATGGTCTCCATAGTTAAAATATCCCCCACGTGGCTAGATTTTTTGTTAAGTATATATCCTCACACAATGGTTCAATTTTAATCTTTTAAAGAAAGTTTTGCTGATTTTTTGAAGGCAAACAAGTTTTGTAATTAGAAATTATTTAGTAAATCAAAGTTTTTAAGATAGGTACATTAAGTGTTTTAGTAAACCCTCTTGGCGAAGGCTTGTTGATTTTGTTGTAATTACAATATTGTTATGGTCTATGGCGTTCTTCAATTGATAAGATGGCCTGCGGACCTCCTCAAATTATAATCTTCCTTACGCAATATTGAGAAAATCTTAAATTCGGTGGTTTCTACTGGGGAATATCGATGTAGAAAGCACTATCCGCCAAATCCGGTAGGTAATAATGAAGATAAACGTAAGCAGGAAGTAAGAAGCCTTAAAATGATTATTCAAAGTCAAAAGGAAAATGCGTAATTTTTTGAACATACCGAAAACGGCCTTAGAGCATGTAAAATACATCTGCAAATGCATCATGGAAGCGCCGAAAGCAAAATAATATGGGAAAACTTCACTAAACTTATACAGTATCAATAAAAATCCCAAAAAGACCGACAAAAATTGTCAAGTAACTGTAATGGCGTGTATTCTTCTCTTGTCTTTGTAAAAAGAAGTACGTTGCCTAAAGAAATTAAAGAAAACTCTGCACGACCTCCGTCGGCAAAACCAAGAACTATGTGAAAGAAACGTATACTAAGATAACATTTTATAATTGATCATGTTTTTCATGTTATTCATCGTTTAAAATAGTTCCTCAGGAATGAACGCACTGTAAATTATTTAAAAATTTTTATGATTTTTGATACCATAAATTGCTTTGACAAGTCTAACAAAAGATTCCCGTTTTTTCAACGCAAACTAGTAAAATTATAAAATTAATTAACACAACAATTTTCCTCAATTCAAGTTTTTCTCTTACATTTGATTATGCAATATAATAAGTTTATGTTGCTATATTCAAAAAAGTGTGCTCTTTAAGAATAGATAATAAAATCTAGTACATACAATTTAGAAAATATGCCCCCCTTGACCATGCAGAAGTACGCCACTGACCACAAATGACGTAGATTGATATCAAATTTTTTTGGATAAATTGAAAAAATTGATTGTTCTGAAGATATTTTCAGTGCTCCAGACAACATTTTCACTCTGTATACAAAAACCAAGTTAATGTGTTTGATTCTTTTCTTTTTTTCAGGTTATTGCTACCCCTGTTTCAAATCCATTACTTTTTGTTGGGTAGTTAGGGGGTGGCGCTGGCGTCTCTGTAGCTACATCTTTTTGTTTACGACAGAGTTGGGCTCTTTCCAAGACGCTCTTATGCCAATATTCATCCTGCAGTCAAGTAAGGCCTATAAACATGATATTCTTTAATTAGTATCTAAAGTTGAATTGCGAACGTGTATTTTTACTCTTTTAGCGAAATCTACCAAAATGCCAATTGTGGGCGAACGCGACGGCGGAAGTGGGTCTCGACGAAGAGAATTCAGTAGCCCCCGAGAAGATCTTACTGATGGAGATCGAGCTAGCTAGTTCAAAATGGTATACGAAATGTCATACGTGTACTGCTTCATCAGAACTAATATTCGAGAAAATAAAGCGCGTTATGATAAGAGCGAGTGTTCAAGCAGGGTCGAAACGTTACATAATGTTGCCGGTTCTAAAACCGTTGCGACGGAGTCAAGGGTAATTCTTTGTGAGGAACCTGAAGCACAGTTTTGCCAGATTCAAATTCGTCAACCATCTCTCGAGAATTTCGAGAACATTTCAACTCATCGATAAGTGTAAGTTAGATGAATTTTTTATATTTTATCAAAATAGGCATCGACCGTTTTTGGGGATTTTGTGTGAAAAATTTGCACCTAAAGTCATTTTAACGTTCCTGTAGAAGTTGATTTACGGGAATTTATCCCGTGAACCAATTTGTGTATTTTTTTATGAATGATAAGTGAACCCAAACCAAAGATATTGATAAATTCTCTCTCATTAATTGTGAAATTGATGTTTAAGTTCATTAAATACCATTCTTTTGTGTGGGTTAAATTTTATTTAGTATCCAGAGGCGTGTAAATTTGTACCAGATGTATGATTATTTACAAATAAAAAGTCCTGCTAATTAATGATATTTGGACGTGATCACGAGACAGGATTTAACTTTATTTTGTATTTGTTACATGAAGTACATCAATCTTTTAGATCACAACCAATGTAAAGAAAACTGGAGTTGGAACGATATTATTTTGAACAATACATTTAAACATTCAATTTGTATGAGTACTTATTTGAGAGTGGTCAAACCAGAGCATCAGGTTTAAATTTTTAGATTATAAGTGGAGATAAAGAACCAACCTTCCGCAAGGTAAAAGTCCTCGATAATAATAATGTAACGTGATTTATAAATTCGGGTTCGATTTATATCAATATTTATTAAACAAAACTAAAACACTATAAAAACCGTACAATTTATATCGATTATTTATATCACACACTTCGTAATTTATATTTCCGCGCTCGATGTTTCATACGTACTCGATCTCGTTCGATAGTAGACTGCCGCGATGTTCGGTCCGCAACCATTTATACACGCAAGCAATGTAAGTCCCGAACATTCTCGAATACGCGTAGAAAATTCCAGAGCGCCAAAGGCGACGTCATGTCTGGAACATTTCCGTTACACTGCCCCCTTCTTAATTCTGGACGTCTCGTTCAGAAACTGCGTTAGTATTACTTTTTAATACCTCGTGTCGGAATCTGCAGTCAGAGCCTGCTCGACAAACACCTTTCTTGAAAAAGTAACAGTCCACAGTTTTGCGGAGGGTCGTCCCCTGTGGGTTGAAGCAGCATACTGTAATTCGAACGCTAGTGTTTCTAAAAATCAC